CAGACGTGTGCTCTTCCGATCTCCCCAAAACCCCAAAACCCCATTTAATGTGAATTATGAATTTAAAGTGAAAATTAAATAGAAATATTGATTCAATTTAAATGGGTAACATCATAAATTGCTGCAACACTGCAGTGAGTCAACCATCTTAGCTCTGGAGTGCACTCTCGGAAGAATAGAGTCAACTATTTCTCAATCAATATGAAAAGCAGCATCAAATCAATGTAATCACTCTTTAACTTTGTTTAATGAGATTTTTATATAGTTGGTAAATCAATTAAGTATTGTGAATCATGCAGAAAACTTACTGAATGCAAGCAATGATAGCACTAAATATGAAGGTCGCATTGATACAAGTAGCTCATTATAATCTTGGACTAGAGAAACAAGCTCGCGAATAATTTAGAAAGATAGATTCGAGAGTTCTATCAATGTTTTTAGTGGCTAAGTAAGTATTATCAGATTATATTTTATTTATTGAGAATAGATTCTTGATGAAGTTGTAGAGCTGCGTATTCCAGTTTTGCAAGTAGATATAGGGCTAAGTTACAAGAATGTATCGCTAGATTTCTAAAAGATATAGAACTTAGTAAGCACTAATAGTATTAATATAGTATAGCTAGCTGATTCATCGAAGAGAGTGCAGTGGGACAGGCTATACCAAGAGTTCAATCCTTTGAATACTTTTGGATAGACACCTTTTGAGCATTATGAAGCAATAACTAGATAAATATCTGGAATCATTAACCCTAGAAAAACTCTGCTGAAGTCATTGCAAATGAATACATAACAAGGAATTTACTACAATTTTATGAGTTCCATCAATGAAAATACTCAGGTGAAGCAATCAAATAGAAAACAAGATTATGTATAATATACAGTTGTATCAATAATCTTAATATAGAGTCTGGACTAGTTGAGGTTAAATAGAGGATAAAGTAGCATTACCTCGCGTCATAGTAGACAAAACTCTGGATAACTCAAACCCTAAAACAAAGACTATTTCAAAGAGGAAAATAGCACTCAATCTCAAGAAAGCTCTATTGCTATGACGACCACTAATTTCAAGAAGCAATACACTAATAAACAAGAAAAAAGGCCATTAAAAGATATCTTTGTAGTAGATTTCTCATTTATCAAACTAAAGGTAATTTGTAAAATGATAATGAGACAAATAGGTTGAGTCAACCAGTCAAATTTTAATCTCATATTTCATAATGGGCAGCCCAATTTCCAAATTCAAAGTAAATATTTCTATCTTCTTATTATTTTTAGTGCGAAAAATTATATTTAAAACTATATGAAGACTCTCTATAATAAAAAGGAATAGAAATTGCTGAACATATTTCGTCCTATCTAACATAAGAATTGAATTAATGACCACAATAAAACTCTCTAGAGATTGATAAAACAGTCAAATGATTAATTCATTACTATTTAACCTATATATACCGTGATTTCTTGTTAATCTTATTGTATTATGAATAAGAATAAAATATAAAATATTTAATAAATCGAATTACTTACTTAACCTCACTTCAATTGATCAGTAAATTTTATTAAGAGGGGTTTTGGGGTTTTGGGGTTTTGGGG